CCCCAGGCCATACAGCGCCTAATCAGTCCTATGCTCTATAGGCTTCTGGGGACGAGAATAAACACGATGCTCTTTGGAAGGCAAACACAAGCTGTTTGTATTTGCTTTCCTTTCACCTGCAAAGACTTAATATGTAGCTTGCTGAAACAATAGAAAGAAATATGATTTTAGAAATGTTATACATACTATATTCAAGAATGTTAAACATACTATATAAAGGAATGTTATAATATACATGTATTGAGAAATGTATTAGTATAGGTGAGGTGTGTTCTGCATCAGGTCCGCTTATGAGGAATGTTATGCATACTACATGAAGAAATGTTATACGTACAGTATGAAGGAATGTTATAATGCAATATAAAGGAATGTTATACATACTACATTCAGGAGTGTTATAATACTAACTTCAGGAATGTTAAACATACAGTATGAAGGAATACTAAGCATGCAATATGAAGGAATGTTATACATACAATATTTAGGAATGTTGTAAATACAATATTTAGGAATGTTGTAAATACAATTATTAGGAATTTACACATTGTATGTTAAGGAATCTTATCTATACAATATGAAGGAATGTTATACATGCACTCTTACAGCATGTTATACATACAATATGAAGGAAAGTTATCCATTCAATCACACAGAATTGTATGCATATTATATTAATTAATGTTATACATACAATATTACGGAATGTTATGCATACTATATTCAGGAATGTTATGCATACAATATTCAGGAATGTTAAACACACAGTATGAAGGGAGGTTATGCATCCAATGTAAGGAATGTTATAATGCGCAATGAAGGAATGTTATACATACATTATGAAGGAAGGTCATACATAAAATATGAAGGAACGTCATAATGCACTATGAAGGAATCTTATACATGCAATCTTATGGAATGTTATACATATTTTAATAAGGAATGTTATATTGAAGTAGTAAGTAATGTTATACATACAATATTAAAGAATGTTATACAAGAAAATGTTAAGGATTATTATACATGCAATATGATGGAATGTTATACATACTATAGTCAGGAATGTTAAACATACAGTATGAACGAATGTTGCGCACGCAACATGAGGAAATGTTATACATACAATATGAAGAAAAGTTATAATGCAATTTGAAGGAATGCTATACATGGATTTAGTCGCATTTCTGGCAGTGAGATTATCACACCTTTTAATTGGTCTAGTGCGTTGTCCAATGACACCTATACATGCAGCGAAGTAATGATATTAATGTAAGATGAGGAAAGTTCTACATACAATATGAAGGAATCCTATGCATGCAATATGAAGGAATGTTAAAATGCAAGGTGAAGGAAAGTTATACATACAATATAAAGGAATGCAATGGATACAATATGAAGGAATGTGATAACGCAATATGAAGGAAAGTTATAATGCAATTTTAAGGAATGTTATACATGCAATCATAAGGAAAGTTATACATGACTGACTGACTGAGTTTGGTTTTACGCCGCTTTTAGCAATATTCCAGCAATATCACGACGGGGGACACCAGAAATGGGCTTCACTCATTGTACCCATGTGGGGATTCGAACCCGGGTCTTCGGCGTGACGAGCCAACGCTTTAACCACTAGACTACCCCACCGCCCCAAGTTATACATGAAATCTTATGGAACGTATACATATTATATTAAGTAATGTTATATTGCAGTAATAAGTTATGCTATGCATACAATATTAAGGAATGTTATATACTCAGCAGCAAAACAAAACCCGTCAGTACGAATTCAAAATTAGATAGGCACTGTAATCAAATCATTACAGAAATTGACATAATAAGCGGATCAAAAACCTTTTTGTGTACAATATCTTGACACTTCAATGAATAACTCAGCACAATTTCAAGACATTATGTGAACGTTTGCAGTCCATTCAGACTCTTGACTTCAGTATCTAGTGTGACCACCACGAGCGGCAATAACTGCAGCACAGCGTCTATGCATGGAGTGCACCATTCGATTGATGAAGGCCATTGGCACCTGGAACCACACTCTGAGAAAGGCCTAGCGCAATAAATCTGCTGTGTTCGGCCTTGGTATGACATTATTCAGTCTCCTCTGAATTTCATCCCAAAGATGTTCAATTGGGTTTAAATCAGGACTAAGGGCTGGCCACTGCATAATGTTGACACCGTTCTGCTGTAGGAAGTCCCGTGTAGCTCTGGCAGTATGGGCCCGGGCGTTATCATGCTGGAAAATGTTGTTCCGGTGACGTGCGAATGTGGTATGACGTTGGGTCTGAGAGCTTGGTCGATGGAGCGCACCTCTGTGATGCAGCCTCCTCTTCCTGGACCAAGGTTCTGGAACACCACAAGACCGACTCTCTGGTTCAGGCCTATTCCACCCCATACCATGATGCTTGCACCTCCCCATGAGTCTCTTTCCATAACACATTGGTCTGAGTAACGCTGGCCACGGCGTCGCCATATTCTTGTTCTGTCATCTGCAGTTGATACGCAGTACCGACTCTCATCTATGTACAGAACAGTCCTCCGTTTCCTGTATCGCCAGTTTTGGTGTTGTAGGGCAAACTGTAGACGTTCACGCCGATGACGAGGGGTGAGGATAGGTGAACGGTAAAGTCTACGGCAATAGAGGTTCCCGCTGTTGAGACGTCGGCGTACTGTATCAGTACTGATTGGTCTTCCGTGTGTTCCCACTGTCTGGCGTGCTGTTTCGGATGCCTGCATGAAGGGATTCTGTACATGCTGTCGCACAACATGGCGGTTTTGTCGTCTTGTCGTCTTGTGGTCACCCTTGGTCTGCCAGTACGGGGCGATCATTTGTGGTGTTGGTGGCCCGGAAACGTTGCTGCAGCCTATAGATGGTCCGAACGTTGACCTGGAAGTGATTGGCAATGGCTTGTGCAGTGTGGCCAGCTTCAAGTCTTCCTAGCACCTGGTTTCTCTGAGCTGTCGTGAGTCACGGCATCCTGCTGACGTTGTAATGTGAGGTGCATGAAAAACATGGAGAACACCGTATCATCTCTGAGATCAGGTTGCGTTTTTGAGACCATTTCTTGGGTTCCATACTGAGTTTGGGAAGGAATGTCTTTGCTCAAGTAAAGTTGGAGATCTGTTTGATTGGCATTTAGAAGTTGCTGACTAATAAGAAAGTAAGATTGTTCATGGATAACAACTTCTTTTATTATATATGATGCGACGTTTCGGTATGGATTCTATATCAAGCAAGAGTGACAACGGTATGTCAAGCACTGCTATAAGTGACAACGGATATAAGAATCCATGATGTGACGACGTTTGGTATGGATTCTTAACCCGTTGTCGCAAGATGACAACGGTATAAGAATCCATACCGAAACGTCGCATCATATATAATAAAAGAAGTTGTTATCCATAAACAATCTTACTTTCTTAAAGTTGGAGATGTTGTAAAAAATTACAATCAAAACATTACATGAGTTTATAGTTATCCGTTTCTGCGAAGGAAAATTCCAAACTGACGTTTCTTTTGCTGCTTAGTATATATACAGTCTGAAGGAATGTTATACATATCATATGAAGGAATATTATGAAAACAGTTTGAAGGAATGATATACATGCAATCTTAAGGAATGTTTTACATACAATATTCAGGTATGTTATACATACAATATTCAGGTATGTTATACATACAACATTCAGGAATGTTATAATGCAATAAGAAGGAATGTTATACATGCAACATGAAGTAATGTAAACATATAGTATGAAGGAATGTTATGCATGCAATATGAAGACATGTTATACAAGCAATATAAAGGAATGTTATGCATAATATATTGATGAACGTCATGCATGCAAGTTGAAGGAAAGTTATACATACAAAACGAAAGAATGTTCTAATGCAGTCTGAAGGAATGTTATATATACAATGTGAAGGAATGTTATATATACAATGTGAAGGAATGTTATAATTCAATATGAAGGAATGTTATGCATGCAATATGAAGGAATGTTATACATGCAATATGAAGGAATGTTATACTTACAATATTTATGTGAACGTTATGTATGCAAGGTGAAGGAAAGTTATGCATAGAAAATGAAGGAATGTTATAATGCAATATGAAGGAATGTTATGCCTGCAGACTGAAGGAATGTTATATATACAATATGAAGCAATGTTCTCCAGACTATATGAAGGAATTTTATTATGCAATATGAAGGAATATTATACATGCAATATGAAGCTATGTTATATGCAATATGAAGGAATGTTATAAATACAATATGAAGATATGTTATACATACAATATGAAGGAAAGTTATGCATACAATACATACGGAGAACTGTTATACACGCAGTCGCACGCATGCACATCCGTCCGTCCATCCATCCATCCATCCACGAATTGTGCAATCGTAAGGAATGCTGTACATTCAATATTAAGGAACGTTATAATGCAATATGAAGGAATGTTATAATGCAATATGAAGGAATGTTATGCATACAATCTTAAGGAATGGTATGCATACAATCTGAAGGAATGTTATACATACAGTATGAAGGAATGTTATACATACAGTATGAAGGAATGTTATACATACAACATTCAGGATTGTAATAATGCAATATGAAGGAATGTTATACATAGTTACAATGTGAAGGAAAGCTATACACACAATACATACACGCACATCCATCCATCCCTCCATACACTCACATACACACACATTCATACACACACACATTCACACATACACACACAAACACACACAGAGAAACACACACATACACATACACATACATACATACATACACACATACATACATACATACATACATACATACATACATACATACATACATACATACATACATACATACATACATACATACATACATACATACATACATACATACATACATGAATGCATATCTGATTATCTGATACCTCTGATATCTCTAACAGATGCCATTTTCACACTTCGTTTCCTTCCAGGCTGGTTACGCGCGACCCAGTTCTTTGAGACAGTCGGGTTGATCGCCATTGCCGCAGCAGCTGTCCTTCTGTTCCTGTCAATCTTCGTGCAGGCGTTCAAGGACAAGAAGATCATCACAATCATCAACGCCTTAGCCTGCTTCGGTGCATGTACGTGTTTATATTTCACTACCTACTTGATCCTCACAAACATATTTATTCAATTCTTAAGTGGAGTGATTCTAAAGATTAGTTACTTCACACGACATAATGCGAGTGAGAACGGGTGGTTGTCTATGGCGACGGAATCCGTTGTGCTGAGTTGTGTCCATTTGCAGTAATAGATACCTGTGCCGATAGGTTCGACTCATAGTTGGCATTGATTATGCTTCTTGGTTTGTAACACCACATCCGTGTCAGTGGGGTTAACGAAAGTGGTGAACGCTTGAAGTCTGCCTCATTGCGAGTATTTCTCGTTCCAAACCTGGGCACGCCATGATGTAACTGTACAAATCAGCCTCGTTAACATTATCCTGGGTATCAGGATATGAAGGGTTATGAGCAAATATACACCCATGGAGTGAGGTTGTAGTGCCAATGAAAGGCTGATGCTTGAAGGTTGTAGAGTCACATCGATTTAAACGGTGCATCGAGTTAAGAGAGTATTACAGTGCATGCAGTTGTTTCTCTTCAACATAAAGATACAAAAAGTTACAATCCACCAAGTTGAAGTCGACACAACACCCAAATGTCTAGAAAGAATACGGAGATACGAAGCTTTTACTTCGAGACAACCGTAGGTTCGACACAAAGTTGTTTGATTATATTTGTATATTTCCAGGTGGAACAATCATCATCGGTGCGATCATCTACGGCAGTCGGTATCTCGTGGTAGACTACCTTAGCTGGGCTTTCGCGCTGTGCATTGTGGGGGCAATAATGGAGGGCGTGGCAGGCGCGTTAATCATAGTGGGAACGTTCGCTGCCAGAAGAACATAAGCGATAAGACCAGCCGGAGAAGTCTAAAAGTTATATGTCAAAATGATAGAGAGGAACATTTCATGCCTTTGTGTTAAAGGATATGTGGATAAAACAACGTGTGACTGGGAATACGTTTAACTCTAATATCAAGTGTTCTGTAAAATGTACAGTTGACTAGGAGTTACGGCAGTTTTATGGCATGTTTCTTGTAGACATTTACCGGCCGAGAGCCTGCCCCGAACACAACATTGTATCTGTATTTGTATTTGTATTTGAAGTAGTAGTAGTCGTAGTAGTGGTAGTGTTTGAATCTTGTCAATCACGGAAAAAGAAGATCTCTAATATACTTTGCAAGTTAGCAATTAGTTTATGCAAGTAAAGGAAGTTGTTCTGGAAAAATAAGCGCTGAACACTTTCATAGTTAATGTTACGAATGATGTGATTGGTGTCATCACAAAGGTGAGTGAGTGAGTGAGTGAGCAATATTCCAGCTATACGGCGGCGGTTTGTAAACCATCGAGTCTGGATCAAACAATCCAGTGGTCAACATTATGAGCATCGATCTACGCAATTGGGATACGATGACATGTGTCAACCAAGTCAGTTGAATGTTCAACAATCCCGCGAGATGAGTGATGACAAAACGATTAAAAACGACAAAAACGATCATCCTGTGCTCGTACAACACTGCATTGCGAAATGGGTCGCGACTAGGACATTGAAAGTTTGGTGCGTCAATCTGCTCTGCAATGTAAGCAAATCAAACAACAGGAACATTTAGGAGATATATAAATTTAAAAGTGGGTGTTAGCCATTGGTTAAAATCTGGTTTGACGTCATTTTTGTCAACCTTACGGAATGCGGCTCACACCCCACAGCACCCGACGCTGAGTGAATGGCAAGTGAAGCTGAATCGTGTCGTGTGATTGTTACGCAACGGCTCAGTGACTCGAGATTCCTGCAGTTGGAGACACAACCATGGCTGATCTGTCGAGCATATCTATTTGGGTTAAAGTGTCTCTAGTCCTCATTCCTTTGGCCGACTGTTACATTTGATTGGTTTCGCATCAGCGTATTGGGTCAACTATGGAACAGTCAACGGTGGACTCTGGCGATTTTGTATTAATACACACTGCCTTGACTATCTTCATCCACGAATCACGCTGCAGGATAAGTACCGCATAACAATCCAGCCACATACAACAGATACATTAACCCCGCCTTCGCTGGGGATTCAGAGGAGATAATCTCTCGCCAACGTCCTTATCTTGTTAGCTATGTGTGTTGTTTGATACCCCTTCTGTATGATCGTTTCGTCTATGAACTGAACATAACTATTTGTATAGCTTTGTTGCACTACCTTTTATGCAATGACGTGAATGTACCACTTCTTTACTGAAGACATTTCTGCAAAATTTCATTTTTCTTTCAGAAAGTTATGGCAAAAATTTTTTTTAACTGTAAAAATACACTTACAAAATATATTTTCCACAAATATCACTATACATGTATTAATTACTTCAAAAAGATCGGCCGTTTTGTATTAAATCTGCGTTTGTGTTGAAATATTGGACGCCATTTGACAGTATGAGATGTCACTATTGACTGACAGGTGAGGGAATAATATTTTAACTGACAACAAATCATTTCATATATCACATGGCTTCAAAAGCCAAACAAGCTAAAAAGACAAAAAAAACCGCAAAATTGTCTTCGGACTTGTAGTAGTGTCCTGGAATTCATATCAATTGTAAGTTTGACAGTTAAAATACATTAGAGAATAGCAGACAAACGTTCAGGTCACAGCTGAGAGTTTTTCAGATTGAATCCAACCCAGGAGACCTTTCAATCACATAGACCTTTATCAGGAACTAACAAGTTGTTGTCCACTGGATGTTGAAGCATTGGTGGATCAAATGATGATTCATACAAGTGAGAGTGAGTGAGTGAGTGAGTGAGTTTAGTTTTACGCCACTTTTAACATATTCCAGCAATATCGCGGCGGGTGACACCAGAAATGGGTTCACACATTGTACCTAAGTGGGCAATCGTGACGGGAAAACCGTGATTGGAAGAGCGAAAACAGGGAATGGCTTTATGATCTTATCACTGTCCACGTGAAATAACTCACAGTATTCAAGAAATTATAGTAGTTGTTGGGTACATGTTCAAAATATGGTTTTGCTGGCCCTTTATTTATCAGCAACCAGTATATGAACTATATTGGTTAGTTGTGTTATTTTAGAAATAGAGTGTATCGCAAATGGGTTGGAGAGTAAATACCAAGTGTTGTGCAATATATTCAATATAGTGCACGTAATCTCCTTACTTCAATAAGACCTGAATCCCTGAGAGCGGGTTGTGCACTCAAGACCTTCCCTCTACAACCTAGAAACATGAAAGACAAACATTGAACTGTAAGATATTCAGCAAGAATTCTGGGCCTACATGACGCACCTATTCATAACAGTCGTTGATGAATTAACCAAAGCGCCACAGTGGGACAATGCGACAACGTGGAATTTCGGCCATTTGTCGCATTGTCGGTATGTCGCGCTTTGAATAATATCTTTGTCTTTACCCAGACGAAATGACGTGTTGTTGCATTGTCGTGCTTTGGTTAATTTTGCCTCTTTTTGCTTGTTTTTGAGAGGGCGATAGGCGACAATACGACAACGCGACAATGTCCGTTCTAGGATTCCATAGTGGGACAATTTTTATTTCAGATATGATACAACGGCAGTGTTTATCCAACATCATTCTGTGAAAATGCAAATCTTGAAACATCCTTTCACGACGTAAGGCTGAATAACAATCACGTGTTGACAGTATGTAATCGGAGATGTTTCGTAACGAAATATAAAAGTAACAGATAGGCAAAATATCTATATATAGATATTAGGCAATCCTGCCGAAATGTATTAAGTGAGTGAGTTTGGTTTTACGCCGCTTTTAGCAATATTCCAGCAATATCACGGCGGGGGGACACCAGGAATGGGTTTCACACATTGTACCCATGTGGGGAATCCAACCCGGGTCTTCGGCGTGACGAGCGAACGCTTTAACCACTATACTACCCCACCGCCCCCTGAGTATATGGGTGTGCTATCAGGTATACAGCCTTTCTGAAACTCCAGGTAATGCAGAAGGCTGCAGTGTTGAGGCTATGTTGAGGCTATAGGCCAAATTCCACGGTTGATAAAGTGAGACCGAGCTGTGTCAATACCAGACAAGGTGTTTCCTTCAAATGTGTGCATGAGATACGAGGACTCCCCCCCCCCCCCCAAACACATGTTCACAACGTTCCGTCAGGTTATCAGTCGGGACAAATGGTTCATGTTTATGAACGTTTTGTGTGCTAAAGGTCTAAGCTGAACGTGAATCACATAATTTGCAAAGTCATTCTTCTCTTAGTATGTTTTTCGATCGACCAGTCTGAACGAGCATGTTGAGATTTGAAGTACCAGATTTTCATGTCTGCATGTACTTGCATTTAAGGTTAAGCTGGTGTTTTTTTCAAAAAAGAAATGGTTTTGGCTTCAAGCGTTTATTTTGTACCCTTTGTGATCTTCTCCATATATCCCTGTCACTACCATGTTTAACCAGCGCTCCAACTGCACATTATTCACAATCTGTCAGCCAATAACCTGCAATCAATCTCTGCCATGTGCAGCTGTGGTACATGTTCGTTGAAGCACACCTTTTCCTCAGCGATCGTTTTGAAAACTGAGAGTTTTATAATCACATCATATCTGAAAATATATTAGCAAAAAAACATGTCGTAAATTGTTTTCAAGAAATTATATTTAACTTACAGCATGTTTAAATAGTTGTTCATCAAAGTGGCCATCATGACGATGAATTATCATTATCGTTACTCTGGTGATATTGCTGAATATTGCTCAAAGCATCGTAAAACCATACTCACTCACCGGTGCAGAGGAACATTGCGTATAATCCTAACCAACTTTGAGAACTGTATATATATATATATGTAAAGCGTTATTGATTGAAATGTGCTGAAGGTTTGATGACTTGGTAAAGTATGCTCATGAAAATATTTGTATTTTTGTATGGTTATGTATTTCAGAAAAGAATTATGAATATTTATTTGAAAAATACTGCACGATTTACTACATAACTGAAACTACTTTGGTATAAAATCGTGCTGTGGCGGTGAATGATACATCACTAGAGATAGATCAAACCCTTATTTGGACTCTTTTGTGAATTGGTTAATGTAGGTCAATGCTATTCTTTCATAGATTTATTGTTAATGTTCAGCGTAAATATAAATATCTTTATTCTGTTAGTTCTACGTGTGTCTGTTGTGCACCTTGTGCAACTAACTTACTTCAGTTAACTTACTAGTCTCCGTTTATATACATTGTATTAACATCCTCAGTCAGACTCACTGTGTCTGTCTGTCTGTCTGTCTTCATAGAAGGTGTAGGGTAGCCTTGTGCAAGAAACGTTCGCTCGTTCCGCCGAAGACCCGACTCGAATCCTCACATGGGTTCAATGTCTGAAGCCAAATTCGGGCGTCCCCCGAGCACTGTAAAATGTGACATAAGACATGCCGTGACTATCCCTCACTCAGTCGAGATGTTTAAATTTCAACTTCTCAGAAACATCTCATTTTGAAAGATGCATGTAAGGAACACAGCGTGTATCGCCTTGAATTACCCACTTCTAATTACTCAGCAAAGACCTGAGACTAAATTAGATTTCGCAGAATATAATACAGTTTGTACATATCTACAGGGTTTTAAAAAATCTAACTTGGTTGTAGAGAATTGCATGGTTGTTGACTATAACCACATATCCCACGAATTCCCACTATTCAACTGGGCACCCTTCTTATTGATATAATGCAGTCAGTCATGTTGTAGAAAGCGAAGATGTAGCGCTTCGCTGAACTATCGTATCTGTTCAAACACGTATCCATGCCATTTGTATCAAGATATTTTCCCCCATAGCATTACGCAACAACGCTCCACTGCATGCCGCTTCGTCTTGTGTACCTATGGATTTTTCCCTAGGCAATTAATCTGGGTGGGTGAGTGGGTGTCGGGATACCTGGGTTTCCCGGCTGAGATGATCAGGTGCATCTATTATACCACAGGCCATGCAGCGCCTACTCAATCCTATGCTCTATAGGCTTCTGGGGACGAGAATAAACACGATATTGTTTGGGAGGCATACACAAGCTGTTTGTACTCGATTTCCTTTCACCCACAAGGACTAAATATGTAGCTTGCTGAAACAACAGAAAGAAATAAGATTTTAGAAATGTTATACATACTATATTCAAGAATGTTAAACATACTATATAAAGGAAGGTTATAATATATTCAGGAATGTTATACATGCAATATGAAGAAAGGTCACACAATATGAGG